TCCCCTGTCTACTGCAGTCTCGATCTCAATGCCACCTGTATTAATCAGAACTTCCCTATTCCTCGGCATACCGGTCACCCACCTACTCAGGGTGGAGTTCACGTCGTGCTCTTCTAAGGCAAGTCCTATGCTTTTAAAGGTCGTTTTATCGGATGCTCCTCCTTAAATATCCAAGAACATCCCTAAGGTGGAGAGTTTGTTCTCCATGGCCCATTCTATACGGTTTACAACTGTGAATCTTCCTGGGATGTAAGCATGTTGGTTCGGATGTAGAGGTTGCTTCTTTAAAGTGGTTTCCCGAATCTCTTTTTTGCTTAATCTTTCTAGGGTTTTCAGCAAAATGATGTTAAGCTAATTGGTCTATAGGATTTATCGTAAGTGTAATCTTGTCGTCCTGGTTTAGGTATAAATAACCTTTACTTTTCGCCATGCATTCGGTATGTAGCTGAAAGCCACACACGCCCGAAGCATTGGCACCAAGATAGGGACTAATCTGCTCATTTCTCTTTACAGCAAGACAGGATAGATACCCTCCACTCCCGAAGATTTATATGGGGAAAAGCCGTCAACTGCCCACTCCAGTCTTGCGTCCGTGACTACCTTTGCCACCAGCGCCCAGTCCTTCAGGAAAGGTTGACTACCAGCTACATCCCTTTTGGAATGAGAGGTAGTCCTTGTGCTGCCTAGAAACATAGTCTGCAGCAAAAATCCGGTTCTACCTTTGCCCAGGCCTTCTTTCCTCAGGGGGGAACTTTTCTCATAAGCTGACATTAGAGAGAGTCATTGATAGTGGTCAAAGTCTTCTCTATGTCTTCTGTCGATTTATATTCTGTTGGTATCGATTGTACAGGTTCCCAATCCGTCTTCCAGTTCTTCATTGTACAGGCTTTTATAAATGATTCTAAGGGCGTAGTTGGCCATGGATTTCAAAAATCCCGCCTCGCTGAAATTATGCCCGTGATTATGCATCATTATGACAGTTCTCACTTGTCACATTAATGTCTAATGTCATTTGTAACCTGACATTTAGAGTCGTCGTTTTATTGTTTTATTGTTTTTCAAGGGCGAATTACAGTAATTCTTGTCGATCGAAGCTCAAAACAACAAAACAGTCATTTTCAGAACTCTTGGTGGTTGCGTACGAAAATTTTGTGTTTGTGCCACGAAGCGAAGACTATGAAAATGGTTTAGTCTGTTGAACAAGACACTTTCATCGTTATGTTTTGTTATCGCAATAGGATTTCGTAAACGAAGAGTGGGTGTATCTATAACAGCTTGTAAGCAAGAATATCTGGCCAAATACCGTGATTTAATAATTCAAGAAATATCGTTAGAGGCTCACATTAGACATGTAATCAACAGATTTATTCGAACTGGCAGTGTCAACAAAAATAAATCTCGTGGAAGACGTCATCTGGGACAGTTGTTGATGATTTGAGACGACTTGAGCAGAATTGAACAATTGAACAACAGGTCCAAAGTATTGACGAAAGGATGTTACAGAACATTTTTGAAATTAAAAAGAGAGTGAACATGTGCCTTCAACAGAATTCTGAACAATTTCAACATTTACTGTTGTGTTTAACTGCAATAAATTTGTTTCTTTTTATCGTAATGAATTAGTTTTATTTTTTAAAAACGTGAACCGTTTAGGCAACCAGTTATACACATGTGTGTGGTCCATGTGTGATCTTTGTCATGCGTCCTTGGGCATTTAGTACGGATCTCCGTAAAATTAAATCGGAGAGGCGGCACGTTTACATGACCTACTGCGACCCTATAATCATTTATAGAAACCCTGTATAAAGCCCAATCTGTCAACCTAAGGTCCCTGTACGTCTTTGTCTCTATGTCTATACATTTTAACGTATACATAATCCATCTAATAGAGTTAGGGATAAGCAACGTTCTTGTTTACGAACTTTTGTTACGATGAATTCTCGTGTTATTTGTTTTCTTGTTTTAATTTTCAATACGTATTGGTTATACAGTGTTATGATAGCTTTATTATTTTTACTTTAATGTTGTTTTTTTAATGTTTGTCAAAGTCCTGTTAGGGGACAAGGTTAAATCCACAAATAATACGTGAATGTTTTAGTATAACTGTATATATCATCCACTACCTACTTGTTCTTACTATTTTTATCACGTAAGTATATTATATTTAAAACTTTTCCAGAAATTCAATTCATGGAATTGGTCCCAGTTATTCGTCGATAGTCACATCTGCTTGCCCTTCTTGTATACCTATAGTGTTAAAGTAATATATTTTCAATTCCTGCGGATTTCATTTGTATTGATACATTTCTGAAATGCAATCTAATGTCTCAGAATAAATTTTCAGTTCCATGCTTCAGAAGTTTTCTGGAATACTTCCTGGCCCGGGCAACTTTCCATTTTGTAAGGATTTGCGCACCATTTTGTTTTCTTCCACTGTTAGTCCGATCGGTGACCCTGCTGCCCCAATTCGTACTTTATTTCTCTGTATTTTTACTTCCCGAGTGTAAGCGAAGGAAATAATGCAATCGAGTCCATTGGCCGACTCTCTACTTTTATGTTTTCTCAACCTTTCATGACACCCACAGTACGAAGAAATAGGTCGCCTGTTTCCGACGGTCTGTCTGTCCTTCATAAGTCGCCTGTTTCCGTCTGTCTATCTGTCCATCTGTCTGTCCGTCTGTCTGCCGTTACGGATTTTTATTAGACAGATAATTTCCGAACGTACTGGGCTAGTTGTTGTCAAATTTTGAATTACGAATATCATGTAGCTGGTAAAACGCTAACCAAAATTTGTCCACCAATAATGTGATGATGTCACATCAAAACTGTAGGTACATAGTAAATGGGGTTTAAATTGTATGAAATAACATAGTCCTACACACGTAGTTGAGTTTTTACCCAGAACCGCCAAATTTTTGCAAAAAAAAAACCCTCAAAATTATAAAACAACATTTTGCAAATTAATTTTGAATCTACACAACCGAATGCTTTGAAATTCTGCAGATATTTTAAAGTTATGATAAGCATGATCAATTTACTTATCCCTTCCAAAAAATTGATGACGTCACCTCAAAATTTTGCCGAAGAAATCCTATCTTGCAAAGTATGATGAGTCTATACTTGTCACTTATCACTGCATTAGTTTTGTTCAGATTTGCTTATACGGGGTGTCTCAAAAAATTAATGACTGAATCAATTTACTTTATTGATTAAATCAAGAATTGCAAAACTGAATACTTTTGGAATCTTGCAGACGTTTTGAAGTTGTTGTAAGCATGGTAACTTTTATATATGATCATTGATCAAACTATACTTGCAATTTACCATTGCATTCATATTTTTTAGAATTGCTTATACAGGGTGACTCAAAAAATTAATGGTTCAGTCAATTTATTGTTGATCAAATTAAGAACGAGCCACCCCATTGAATGAACATTTTAAACACTACTACTATCGCTCAGATGGCACTATTCCCGTCGATAATGTGCTGTAAATATATTTTGTAATGTCCGTACTTGTGCAGAGACGGTTTATACGGATACACTTGTGATGCGGGACCATCAGGCTCCGAAGTTAAGGGACACCTTCTGGCCTAAATGTAACGGTAAATAAAATTTATTTGTTTTTAAATTGGTTATTAGAAAAATACGATTTCGTCTTCGACTGGCCGTTTGTTGACACATATGATCTCGAGATTGTGCAAAATGAAAAATTGATCACTTTCGGGTGTACCACTAATTTATGACTTGCAGCCAAGCCGCCTGAGTTTTGTTTTCCAGTATCGTTTCTGATTCTTATTTTGCTTTTTTCTATCGTTCAATAAAATCTACTGCATACTTTTGAAATTATTGCATTTGCGAGGGAACTTCTGTCGAAACAACTTCCGACGAATTTTTTATTTTTTTTTATAACTTCTACCAGCAGTTTTTTAAATACTTTGAACAGCAATCTTGTGGTTATATTATTGTTATTATATCTCTGTTTTATCTCTGTTTTTGCTTCTCATTAATTTTTGAGAAATCTCCAATTTCCTGTACTTCTGGTTCTTTATTTCTATTTCTATTCTAGGTATTTATTCTTCGGCAGTTCGCAATTTTTCAGTTTTCTTATTTGATTTGTAGGGTTTATTGTTCTTAGTTCTTACAGCTTCAATTTTACATTCTTTTAGATAGTTTGAAGTACTAAATTTTTAATTTTTCGTCTAATATCTTTTTATACAGGATTATTCACAAGAAGCTCCACGCCTGAAAAATTCAAAACGCAACCAACAGTAGAATTTCATGACAGTCGTTGATATTTACCATCATTTCTGTTTTAAGTTAAATACAAGTTTATTGAAAATTTCATCAAAATTAGTTATGCACTATGAAACCAAGGTTTGTTTCAGTCCTTAGAGTTCACGAAACACTCCCAATTTTTTGTACGTGCATTTAAATAACACTATGTATAGCTAGCTGTTTGATTTTGATAATTTGGAAGTAAACGTTATTTACTAGGTTAATAAGTATAACAAACAAATTAAAAAAAAAGGGTTCGTCAGGGAGTCTCCTATACGGATAATGTTCTCTACACAATTGTGAAGGACTTGCTCTATATCAAACTCACATTAATCTTTTCGTCGTTTAAACACACTATACATACTATATATGAAATGTTAAATATGTTTGAAATTGTATTTCTGGTTGCGTCTTGTATTTTTTAGGCGTGGGGTTTCTCGTGAGTAACGCTAGCTACTAATTTTTATAGTATTATATTTTATTTATTTTTTTCGCTTTGACCGTATTAAAACTATACGATAGTTAACTTTACAATAAATATATTAAGCCCGCCACTGACTAGGAAATGTCCGGCATTCAGTCAAGACTTGCATTTATTTTTATATCATATCGCATATCCATTTTAAAGCAAGGGACTTAGTCTATTTTCTGTTTCGGTATTAATTCTTATATCTGCAACTGTTCAGGAAGTCTAAAAGGCTATTTTCACATTCACACAATATCTTCAAAAAATCTTAAAACTTAACTTTATTAATCAACATTTTGTGAATACTACATATACTAATAATTACAAAATAAATAATACAACTCTTTAAAGCTTAGGCACCTCATTTCTTCTGATTTGTGTTGGTTGACCCATACCTATTCGTCGGAGGCTTAACCAACCCATAACCTCCACCGCTCCCAGACGGTCTGCTATGGCTGTGTTGACCACTCTTACAAATTGTCCCTGATACCAAATCCTCCGTCCTTCCAGCCTGAATCCTGAAATTCACCTCCGACTGCGAAAGAGACTCAGTGGCAACTTTCTGGAACCGTGACGTCATCACCCAAACTTCTTGCGACGCTTTACTATTTGTGACCACCTGAAAAACAACATTACCAACTGTGCCTACCAAAAAACGCACTTACTTTAACTCCACTAGCGAATTGCAGAGTCTGGCGATTTCGCGAAATGGCTTCTGTGTTTTTACGACCGTATTCTGTGCGAGTGTTCCAGCAGTTGAAAGTGACGTCACTCATGAGACCGAAATACATGATTCCGTCTTTGTCTATGGCTTCGGCTGCGGCTTGAGTGGTTCGCTCTCCAACGTAAGTCTGGAAAAGTAGAAGATCAGAGAAGGGAACATAAGACGAGGGGATTCTCTTACGTGGAAGACCTCTGGCGATGATTCTGGATTGTGGATAAACCTGGAACGATTTCTCAGAAATGCACTGTAGACCCAGTTCTCTGTAGGACTAGACATGGCGTGGTAGAATAGCTTCCTGTCTTGGCCTGGCTTATACGGTTCTAAAGCCATTCCCAAAACACCATCCATCAGGTCGAAACTATCACCTGTATTTTTCTTTAGTACTTAATTGTCACAACACTAGTAAAATAGAACGTACCTAGAATACTGTAAGTACCGTAACTCGGGTATGGATACATGGATTTGTGCGTAGCTTTCCAGGCTTCGTTGCGCTGGACGTCGTAGACTATGATAGAATAAGCTTGGCAGTCTGCTACGTAGACGAAGGTGTCTTTGCATTTTCCATGAGCGTCTCTGACATCGACGACTGGAGTTACTAAAATGGATCTGTTGACCTCTATTAAGTCCTCTGGTATCTCGTATCTGTGGATTAGCATGTTCTGGAAAAATTTTGGGTTAGTTGTGGTTTGAGATTTTCGCAGAAGAGTACCGTTTGGAGGTCGAAGGCAAGGATTTGTGGTGGGCACGTTTGTTCGCTGAGTACTCGTCCTGTGTCCAAAACCCATAAGCGCTGGCATTCGTCTATCTGAAAGTGATGGAATTTTACAGTGAGGGAGAATTTCCGATGTTATAATTGATTGATCATAAAGAGGTTAGTTGTGTTTTTTTAACACCCTATAAATAAGCTTTATAACCAAAGTTTAATCTTGAAATTCCGATGCGACGTTGCCACGTTATTCTATTTTTGTTGAATTTTTGCAAGAGTCAGTGCAGGAGTTCACAAAAAAAATCGTACTAATATTTTAAGATCTGTGTTGCAATATTTTATAATTTGTGATGAAATCATATTTTAATACACAGAGTGTTTATAAAAAATCCAAAACATTACAATTTTCGACTATCGATATTTCAGTTTTTTCAAATAGTTGTCTCTCAAAAAAGTAAAAAATCGCAAGAACTGTCAACTTGAAATAAGAAAATAGAAAAATTGTGACACTTTTTGAACAATTCTATTGCCAAAAATTTCAAGCAAATTGGCCTAACGTGGCAACGTTGCATCAGGATATTAAAAATAGGTTTAAAACCTAAGAAGAGGTCAATCAGAATATGTAAAAATATACAGGGTATTCTACTTGAAAAAACTAAATTGTGTCTCACACCTTAATAATAGAACACTCTGCATGTATAGTTGGAAATAATTTTAGGGTATGAATCTCATAGACGATATAATAAACTTTGGTATTTGACATTTTTAAACATTTTTAATAGATATCGAGGAGCGCTTAGTAATTCACCCTGTATATTATTTGACGAATAATTTTTGAAACTATCACATGCATTAGTATGAAATTACTTTATAACGATCCCAAAAAACTGAAAAATGAACCTATTCGAAATTTTGCTAAAACTTAGGTTTAGAAAATATTTGTTACACTTTTATTTTTTTTACTACTGAATATATAAAATATCCCAAAACGCTATCTATACTCTCAACAAAAAGTTAATGCCGTCACCTTAAATAAATAATAAAAAAAAAAAATTGTACTAAAAATATTTGCTGTGCTTAAAGATTTGAGAAACATGACTATGACCAACATATACAATATTTATAATTTCTATATTCTGCCTAATTTTCTATAACATTTTTCTACCATAATTAATTTATCAAAGAAATGAAAAACTATGCAAAATAACCTAAAAGTAACTCTTGTGGATTTTGTCAACATTTAACACTTTTATGAAAAGTTAAAAAAAAAGTGAAATCGGCGCGTTTTTTGGGTTGCGTGATTTTTCCCCCCCTCGTCGCCTGAGAACTTGTTTGACCCACAGACCGCTCCGCGCTCAGGCCAATGTCGACTCTACGCGTTTAGAATTTCAGCAGGAAAGAATTATTAGTTAGATGCTTTTATTTAGAAACATAATATCACTTCTCACATGTTTCACTCGATTTTGACATGCAACTGAAGTGATTCTTTAATCGTCAACTGAACAATCGGATAATTGAAAAATCCAAACATCGCAAAATCGGAAAAGCGAAAATTTAAAAATTCCGAAAAATTAATAATTTAAATATAGAAGATCTGAAAACTCGAGAAATCGATAAACCTAAAATTTTAAAAATCGAAAAGTTGAAAAATTGAGAAATCTAAGTATAAAACGGTCGAAAAAACCTGAAAAACGAAAAATTGCAAATCCAAAAAGTAATTAGTCGAGAAATCGAAATATCCAGAACTCGAAAAATCGAAAAGTCGAAATACTAAAAAATCCCAAACCTGAAATATCGACAAATTGAAAAATAGAAGAAAAATTGAAGAATCGAAAAACTGAAAAAGCACAAAATTGAACGAAATATCCATAAATTGGGAAATTAAAATATTGAAAAATTGGGAAATGGAAAAATCAAAAAAGGAAAGTCGAAAAATCGCAAACTTAAAAAATCGAAAAATCTGTGAATATAAGCATTGAAAAATTAAAATATCGTAAAATTGAAAATGGAGAAATGGAAACATCAAAAAATCAAAAGAATAAAAATTCGAAAATCTAAAATTTAAAAATCGAAAAGGTGAAAATTCAACAAATCGAAAAATCGAAATTCGAAACTTTAAAAAATTGGAAAATTGAAAAATCGAATAACTCAAAAATCAAAACATCGAAAAATCGAAAAACCGAAAAGTAAAAAATCAAGAATCTGAATAATCGAAAAATCGAAACATCTAAAAATTCAAAAATTGAGACATCAAGACATCGAATAATAAAAAATCGAGAAATCGAGGAGTTGAAAAATTGAAAATCCGAAAGAGGCCAAAATTTTTGAAAAATCGAAAAGTTAAAAATGGAAAAATTGATAAATCGAGAGACTGAACAATCAAAACATCGAACCATCCGCATCTCGATAAATCAAGATCTCAAAAAATTGAAAAATCGAAAATTTAAAAATTCGGAAACTTGAAAAATTAAATAGAGAAGAACTGAAAACTCGCGAAATTGAAAAATCTAGAATTTTAAAAAATGCAATATTAAAATATCGAAAAGTTGAAAATTTGAGAAATCGAAATATAAAACAGTCGAAAAATTAAAAAATCTAAAGCTTAAAAAACGAAAAACTGAAAATCCAAAAAATAAAAAATCGAGAAGTCGAAAAATCGAAAGGTCAAGGAATCAAAACATTGGAGAATTCCTAAACTGAAAGAAATTAAAAAACTGAAAAATTGAAAAATCGCATAATTCAAAATCAAAACAGAAAAATCGAAAAGCCGAAAAGTAAAAAATCAAAAAAATGACAAACCGAAAAATCGAAATATTAAAAAATTCAAAAATTGAGATATCAAGAAATCGAATAATCAAAAAATCGAGAAATCGAGGAGTCGAAAAGTTGAAAATCCGAAAAAGGCCAAAATTTTTGAGAAATCGAAAAGTTAAAAATGGAAAAATTGATAACTCGTGAGGCTGAACATTCAAAACATCGAACCATCCGCATCTCGATAAATCGAGATTAAAATTTAAAAATTCGAAAACTTGAAAAATCAAAAAAAGAGAAGAACTGAAAACTCGAGAAATTGAAAAATCTAGAATTTCAAAAAGTGCAAAATTAAAATATCCAAAAATTTAAAAATTTGAGAAATCGAAATATGTAACAGTCGAAAAATTGAAAAGTCAAGAAATCAAAAACATTGGAGAATCCCAAAACTGAAAAAAATATCCAAAGATTGAGAAATTAAAAAAATGGAAAATTGAGAAAAACCAAAAAAGCAAAGTCGAAATATCGAAAAAACAAAGTATTGAAGAAGTGAAAAATCGAAATTGGGAGAAAAAATAGATTAACTGAGAAATCGGAAAACTGAATATTTAGCAAGGTCAAAATTTGAAATTCTGAGAAACAGAAATACTGAAGAACAGAAAAATCAAAAAATCGAGAAATCGAAAAATCTAAAATTTAAAACATTGAACAATTAAAATATCGCAAAAATTAAAAAAAAATCGAAACTCCAGAATTTAAAAAAGCGAAAAATTTAAAAATCGGACAACCGGAAAACTGAAACATCAAAAAATTGGAAAATCGAAAAACTGAAGAGCCCAAAAGTAGAAAACCGAAAAACCGAGAATTCCAAAAATCGAAACATCGAAAAGTTCAAAAACTGAGACATCGAGAAATCGAAAAATTATAGGATCGAGAAACTGAAGAATCGAAAAGAGAGGAAAAGTTAAAAATCGAAAAATTGATGAATCGAGAAATTGAACGATCAAAAGGTTATATATCTGAATTCGACAAATCGAGAAAACAAAAAATTGAAAAATCGAAAAATTTTAAAAAAGAAAAATAGAAAAAAATCGAAAATTTAAAAATCCAGACAATTGAAAAATTGAAATGTAGAAGAATTGAAAACTCGAGAAATCGAAAAATCTAGAATTTTAACAATTGAAAAGTTAATACAACGAAAAATTGGGAAATCGAAGTATAAAACAATCCAAAAAGTGAAAAATATAAAATTTAACGATAAATTGAAAATCCAAAAATCGAAAAGTCGAAAAATCGAAAAAGTGAGAAATCGAAAAACTAAAAAGCAAAATCGAAAAATCGGAAGATTAAAAAATCGAAACTTTGGGAAGTCGAGAATTGGGAAAATAAAGAAAAACATTAGTTCAGAAATCGGAAACCTGCAGATTTAGAATCGTCAAAATTTGAAAAATTTCTAAAATTGAAGAGGACAAAAATTGAGAAATTGTATTATTGAAACACTAGAAAATTGAGTAATCGAAAAATAAAAAAAGCAAAGTCGAAAATTCGAAAAATCGAAGAATTGAAGAACTGAAAAATCGAAAGTTCGAGAAGTCGAAAAATGGGAAAATCAAAAATAGATTAACTGAGAAATCGGTCAAAACTTGAAAACTTGAAAAAGAGAAATACTGAAAAACTGAATAATCAAAAAATCGAGAAACCGAAAAATCTAAAATTTAAAACATTGAACAACTAAAATATCTCAAAAAATAAAAAAAAATTCGAAAATCTAAATTTTAAAAATCGAAAAAATGAAAAATCGACTAATCGAGAAGTCTAAACTCCAGAAATTAAAAAAGTGAAAAATATAATAACCGGATAATTGAAAAATCGAAACATCAAAAAATTGGGAAATCGAAAAATTGAAAAGCCCAAAAGTAAAAAATCGAAAAACCGAAAATTTCAACAATCGAAACATCGAACAATTAAAAAAATGAGACATCGAGAAATCTAAAAATCACAGGATTGAGAAATTGAGGAGTCGAAAGCTGAGAAGAAAAGTTAAAAATCGAAAAATGGATGAATCAAGAAATTGAACAATCAAAATGTGGAAACATCTGAATTCAACCAATCGAGAAATGAAAAAATTGAAAAATCGAAAAATTTTAAACAAGAAATATTGTAAAAACCAAAAATTTCAAAATCCGGTCAACTGAAAAATTGAAATATAGAAGAACTGAAAGCTCGAGAATTGGAAAAACCTAGAATTTTAACAATTGAAAAATTAAAACATCGAAAAATTGAAACCCAAAAAGGAGAAAATCCAGAAATCAAAAAAGTCAGTCCAAAACTCGAAAAGTCGAAAAATTGAAATATCAAAAGATCCCAAAACTAATAGAAATATTAAAAAAATTGAGAAATTAATAAATTGGAGAAACTAAAAACGCAAAGTCAAAAAATCGGAAGCTTAAAAAATCGAAACTTTGGGAAGTCGAGAATTGGGAAAATAAAAAAAAAACGTTAGTTCAGAAATCGGAAAGCTGAAAATTTAGAAACGTCAAAATTTTAAAAATTTCTAAAATTGAAGAGGATAAAATTTGAGAGGTCCTATCATTGAAACATCGGAAAATTGACAAATCAAAACATAAAAAATCTAGAAATCGAAAATTTGAAGAATGAAAAAATTGAAAAAGCCCAAAATTTAAATTTAAAAATTGAGACATCTAAGGTTGAAAAATCTAGAAATCCAAAAGCCGAAAAATCTCAATAGCGTATTTATAAATCACAAGTTCAGGTCAATGCTATTTTTTAACATTTAAATAACATTTATTCAACAAAATTGTAAGATGACTTCATCAATTCCTGGGGGACATGAACGGATAAATTTTGACTATATAACGATTTAACATGCTTCCAATAACTATAAATTGACATCTAAGGTAAAAACTCAACACGGATTCATAAACCGTAAACGGAGGATATAAAATTTAAATTAAATTATATCTACTATTGTAAAATTTTGTCATTTCATTGTTGGTAACAAATTTTGGTGAGCGTTTTACCATTTGATAATACAATCTAAACTGTAAATTTTGTGATTCGGGAACATTATGTATTAAATCGTTAAAACATTCAAGAACTTTGTTCACTTATTCCTTGTAAAGTCCGACCAGATGGTCGAAACGGTTTAGTTCTTCCTAGTAGATGAATATCAGATCAGCTCTAACGAAAGTCAGCTTATATATAATTCGCTTAAAGTCGATATTGGCCTGAGTGCGCTCTGGTCTGTAGATCCAACAAGTCTCCAGGTTCTCATGGTAACTCGCTTGGCATGGCGAAAAAGATAGTTGACAGTTAATTTAAAAAAAAAAAAAAAACTTTTAAAATATCAGGCTTCAATTTCATCGAAGAAACATTTTCAGAGGGTAACCAAAAGATAAGTATTTTTTAAGTCAGATGGTTGTACACCGTAGAATTACAGTTAAAAAAAAAATAAAATATCGAAATTCTACCCTCCATGAGATGTTCACCAAAAAGCTTTTCATTTGATTTTTTTAATAGTATTTATGTGGAAATAAAAATATTAACTTGTTGACTGTGTTAAAGTCCATAGTTTGTGGTAAGCCACAAAATTGAAATTACAGACATCTACGCATAAATAGTGACTAAGGGGCCAATTCCAAGTTGGTGGCGCAAGTCACTGGTGCAGCGCAACTTTATAATGCTAATTTGGGTATCAAATGCTGGTTGCTAGGGGTGACGGAATAAACAAGCGCAATTTTTCGAGATAAATTGCGCCAACTTGCACTGCCTACTAGAGGTGCCGCAACTCCATGGTGCAAATTTCAATGGAAAGTTCGACAAAACTGCGTTTGTTGATTCCGTCACCCCTAGCAACCAGCATTTGATAGGGGTGACGGAATCAACAAACGCAGTTTTGTCGAATTTTCCATTGAAATTTGCACCATGGAGTTGCGGCACCTCTAGTAGGCAGTGCAAGTTGGCGCAATTTATCTCGAAAAATTGCGGTTGTTTATTCCGTCACCCCTAGCAACCAGCATTTGATACCCAAATTAGCATTATAAAGTTGCGCTGCACCAGTGACTTGCGCCACCAACTTGGAATTGACCCCTAAGTATCTAATAAATTTATACACGTTTTTTCCTTTGCTTTCACTTACCATAACACGAAAAACTGAAACCAGCCGATCCCTCTTGCACCGCTTTGGATTCGTGTGCCATTCCCACGATGGAAACGGCTGAATAATCGGATTGTTGTTAAGTTTTTTGTCAGTAACGACACCAAGTGTCACCGGAACTCCCTCTTGAAACCTTGGAATAGTGACAAAAACCCGATTCTTCTTATTCGGAGCATCTAAAAAAACAAAACTCAACCTTCCTTCTTACAAAAAAAAAAAACAACAGAAAAAACATACAAGAGTAGTGTACATCTACATCTATGGGAGCAGCGGACGTCGGGTCAAAATTTCCACTATCAATATCGTCTTGTCTTGCTTTGGCATTCGGGTAATCGAACTCTAGTTGCGTCCACTGGTACACAAGTCCCAAATCTGGCTTCTGGGAGATTCCTACGTCAATCACGCATAGCCCAAAAATCATGCATAACCATCTGTCCGCTGAAAGGAAGAAAAATAAAAGTGAGTATGACGTGAATGTGTGTCAGAAAGGTCACGAACGAGTGGTCACCTTGGCCTCTACGAAATTTGAACTTGTGTATTGAATTGGGTTGTAATGAGAGGCAGACGGCGGATAATTAGATTTGTTAGCAACAATGGCTCGCAGAGTCACGACGATTAAGAGTAACATCTGGAGATTTCCGGGAAGGACGATAAGTGAAGCGAAAACATTGCCGAAGTTGCATTGTAATGGTGTTTTGACTACAGGTGTTCAGAATATTTTAACAGTTTTTTAGTGTGACCTTTCATTCAGTATAGGAATCTTCGTTGTGATTTTTGGAGTGGAAATATTTTGAATAGTGTTACAATACATAACGTTTGAACATATTAAGTAATAAGGATGTGTACAGAGGTGCACCAGATATTTGAGAGTAATTATCATTAATTATGTGGTTGGAATTTTATGAATGAGTTTCTTTCAATGTTGTGAAGTAAGCGAAGGAGAACCAACATGGAATTAAACGGTGATTTAAATTTTATTGTAGTTAAAAAGTTCCGGACCCACGATTATTTTTTACACTTGTTTATTTCAAAACAAGATATTTACTTTAGTACAGCCTATAAATTATAATGCTATATGATATAATTTTTTCATTTAGTTATACAGGGTTATGATAAATAATGCACAAAATTCATAAAAAGCGCAGCATTTATTTTTGAAAAAAATGCAAAAACATGTGAAGCCTGTCATTTTACGCTTATTTGACATAGACATGTCAAATTTGTAAAAGTTATGACGTCATCATTGATTTTTTAAATGAAACGCTATAATTTTGATCGGATTATTTGATAAAGCTTAGTTTTCTTCATGATTTGGTTCCAATAGGATGGGGCACCACCACATTATGGCGTAAATATAAGGGTTTTTTTTGGAAAATCAATTTGATGGAAGGTGGACTAGAAGGCGTGGACCAATACGATGGCCACCTAGGTCTACAGATTTGACACCCTTTGATTTTTTTGTATGAGGACATTTAAAAAATCGTGTTTACATGAACAGACCCGATAATTTAGACGACTTGAAACACGTATTCGTCATGAAATGACTCGTATAAGTCCCCAGACTAGGGACTCTATAGCATAAATTTTTACTCCAACGTATTGTTCTGTTTATTTAATTTTTTTTAATATTTTGTTTGTTATTAAGTTTCTTAATTTTTTTGTTATGGAACCCCTATATCAAACTACATTCTCATATGCAGAAAAAATAAGCTTTATCAAATAATGCAAACAAAGTTATACCTTTCTATTTAAAAGAAAGGTTGATGACGTCATAATTTTTACAAATTTGACGCAAAATTCTTTTGATATATGTCAAAAGATGGTGAGTAAAATAAAAAGGTTGACGTGTTTTTGCATTTTTTTATCATAACCCTGTATACAGTATTAATTACCAACTTTATTGGAGTCCGACCTGGACAGCTAAGTGAACAAGTGTGAAGAATGTATAAAATTATACATACAAGAAAACAGGAAGATAATGGAAAGAAACTCAAGACATCAAGAAAAAGTAAACCTGCAAAAGGAGAAAATAGAAATGCGCGAAAGAGAGACAAGAAAGAAGAATATAGTAGTACATGGAATACAAGAAGAGACAAACAAGAATGGAAGAAAAAAAAAGAAACAAGAAGAATAGGGAATGAAAGTAGAAATGTAATAAGATGGAAAATAGAAATGTTTTAAGCGGTAAAAAAGCTAAAGGAACAAGAATACACATTAATGATAACTATAGCAAAGACTTACAGGAAAAGCGTAAGAAACTTGTGAAGTACATGAAAGTAGACAAAAAACATGATGTAAAGATGGAAACTAAGAGGAAGAAGGAAAAGAAAAGCTAAAGATAACCAGAAACATATCCTATTATGGCGATATTGGAACAAAAAACTAACAGAGGATGGAGAGGCAAATGAAAAGGAAAATTCGAAAACGACCTTAGATATAAATATGGTAAAAGACATAAAAAAGATGAACAGACAAATTAAGAGGAACAAGAATAAGGAAAAAGAAGAAAACAATGAAAACGGAAAAAAATGAACATCCTTTTTTGGAATGTCGCTGGACTGAAGAAAAAGGAGATGAATTTTGGGAGTATGTAACCAATTTTGATATTATAGGTTTAGTAGAAACAGGGATAGATGTGTAAGAATGTGAAAAGATGAAAGGGAAAATGTCATGGGAATTTAAAGAATTCAAGATGAACTGCAGCGAAGAAGATGAATTAATGTTAAGAACCATCAGAACGGTATATAATAAAAACATGATAACAGTGAAAGAAGAAACCAATTAGAAATAAATGATGACATCTATGTAATTATAGACGGAGATTTCAATGTAAAAATAGGCAATACAGAAGATGATGGATAAAGAAAATGGAAATGCCTATATAAAATGGAAATAAAGGATTAAAGCAACTGTTGGAGTTATTCGAAGATGGGAGATCTTGAATGAAAATAAAATTGACAACGAAGGCGAATTAACCTATGTGGGACCGAGGAGAAAATCCGTAATAGATTATCCAATAGTGAATGAAAAATCATGGGAACTTTCGCAGTTGAAGGTGGGAGAAAGGATAGATTCTAAACATAATCCACTGGAAGTTAAAATAGAAGAATATTACAGAAAACAGCAAAGAGGGGAGGATAAAGCAGGAAAATATATGGCAAGAGTTCTGTAGAGAAGATTTTGATACGCAGAAGGGAAGGATGAGGTGAGATAAGAAACTCTAGGTATAATGATAGATATTAATTTAAGGATAATAGGAGAAGAAGAGCCACAGTACCTAACAACCAAAAAGAAGACAGAACGAGTAATCATAGGTCTATTTAGGCGCAGGAACGAAAGTCAATTTTGGATGAGTGAGGGAGAGAGAATATGTAGAATGTGTCGAGAAGAGAGGAACAATAGAACATATAATGAAAGAGTGTGATGAAATATAAGAAAGAAAGAAAAGCAGAGAAGAACTATTGAGAGAAGATGGAAGGAAAATAGAGTGAATGAAGGAAGTGCAACAAGCGAGGAGGAGGATAGTTTAGATTCAAAATGTATGTGGGTAGTTTTTCACTCAAGTTATGAATTTGAGGTTACTTGTAACTTGGATCAGCGACGTTTAAAATATGAAGAGGTATATTATAATTTTAAAAATGCTGATTATGAAAAAATTAACTATCGATTGTGCCAAATCAATTGGAAGGAAATTTTCTTAGACAAAGATATTAACCAGGCAATTCTCACATTCTATGATTTAATTTATGACGTAATCAATAATTTAGTACATAAAAAAAAATTTCGAACATCTCAGTTTCAAAAATGGTTTTCTAGCGAACTAAAAAAATTAACCCGTTTAAAGAAAAAGCTCCATTTACAATACAAAATAACTGGTGAAAACAAGGAATACATGGAGTTTTCTAGAATTAGAGCTTTATGTAAAAACAAATCAAATAAATGTTATCAGAAATATCTCGCGGAAGTTGAGGACGAAATACACTCCGATCCTTCTAAATCTTTTTGAAAGTTCTGGAAGAGTCAAAACAAGAATCTGGGATATCCAAGTCGCATGAAATTTGATGGTGAAGAAGCCGTTGGGCCAGAATCAATAGCTAATTTATTTGCTCAGTTCTTTCAAGGGGTGTATAGTGACCCTTCAGACAATATGCATTTTAACAGAATAGGTGTTTCAGGTGAAGTCTCCTTTGCTTTTCATGGGTTTACCGAAGAAGAAGTATTTAACAGTATTTTAAGTTTAAAAAATTCGGCCAGTAGTGGTCCTGACCTAATCCGTCGGAGTTTCTAATTCCATGTGTTTTTAGCATAACCAAACCGATAACTTATTTATTCAATTTATCTCTGCATTCTCGAAAATTTCCCGAGCTATGGAAAAACAGTCACCTTGTTCCAATACACAAATCTGGCGATAAAGAATTGATTTCAAACTACAGAAATATTTGTATACAATCGGTTTTGCCTAAGACTTTTGATCATTTAATTTCCACACAGTTAAAAATGGCAACTAAGCACATAATAAGTGATGTTCAACACGGATTTTGTCAAGGTCGTCCCACCACCACAAACTTGCTTTTGTGCCAAAATTTTTTAATTGAAAATTTATGGAGACTTGACGAAAGCCTTTGATAGGGTTAACCACAAAATCTTAGTACACAAACTAAGAGGTATGAATTTTGATGAGATGTTTGTCCAGTGGATTGAAAGTTTCATATCAAATAGGTCTCAAGTTGTTAGAATTGGAAGGTCGTCTTCAAACACCATTTCTGTGAAATCAGGTGTCCCTCAAGGAACCCATTGTGGGCCCTTATTATTTAATCTCTTCATTAACGACATTTACCTTTGGGCATATTTTTCAAAAATACTCTTATTTGCAGACGACTTAAAATTATTTCGAGAGATATCGTCAGCTCTGGATTGTGCCCTTCTTCAAAGTGATTTGAATCGAATATATAATTGGTGTGTATGGAATGATATGAACGTTAACCACGGTGTATAATAAGTTAGGTGTTCCGACGAGCGCGTGAAACGTGTCCCCAACTAGTCACAGATTTGGAGCGAGAGAAACAGAAGAGGGCGGCCGTCATTTAATCGCACTGACGGGAAAGAGACGGGAGAAGTATTTGTCGGAATTAAAGCCATTTAGGTCCAAAAATCATCAAAATTAATTATCCGTTGTATTAAAATAAAAACTTTAAACATTTTTCAAATAATAATTTATTTAAAAAGATGAATGTGAACTCGTTGTTAAAGAGAGTTCTTTTCGCCTTCACATATTATATTAGTTTCACTCACTTCTGTTCGTTTCACAAGACAACCAAAAAATATCCATTAACCATTATCTGCTTTACTGTTTGAGAAATAAAAATTTACCATTATTACGTAGTCTGTAATCGAGACTCTTTTCTTTTTTCTGCACATGCCTTGGTTGTTTTCTCTTG